TATTCAGCCTGTGCATTCAGCTCTGGCAGAAGAGAGGGGTGACCTCTCTATTTAGGCATGATGAAGGGCAAGAGAAACTGGGCAATCTTAAAGGGGCAGGCTAACGCAGGGCAAAACTGTGACACAAGCCCCACTTCAGTTATTTCACTGCAATATATTTTGACCCTCCCCCCTCCCTTCCTGAAAACAAACACAGCAGATGTTTGAATTTGAAATGTAGAGTTGTGTCTGGAACATGCTTGTCTCCTTCAAGTATTTCCGTCTTCAGCGTAGATGTCACACTGCTGTGTTCTGCACGTATTCTGCCTCTTGAAAATGGGTTCAGCAGAATTTCCACCCAGAAACACAGAACATGTCCTGAGCAAGCCTTTCAGATATAGCCAGTTTGGTGCTTCCAGTTGGTGGGGATTCCCATTTTTTCTGTTTATTCCTTATTTAAATGATTCAAAAATATGAACAGCAACCAAGAAAATAATGCTAATAATAAAGATTTTTTTAAATCGCCAAGTGTGTGACATTGATAATTATAATGTGCACAACTTTATAATGCAACCAAATATAAACCCTTCTGATATCACATTACATTTTGCTTTGTTTTGTATGCTGCAGGTTTCCATTCTGGACTGGAGAATACGGCGTCTTGTGAACTTAGGGAAAACACTTCTTATAGATAATAAACACAGCCCAATTTCTTGTGTGTGCTTCCATGACTTTTCTCTTACTGACCCATTTGTTTTTATATACAATAAATTGATACCAGTTAGCTGCTAACATGTCTGCATGCTTTTCCCTCTTCAGGACCCAGCATTTTTGAGTAACTCTCAACCTTTTGCTCAGGGGCAAAGAAAACTGAAATATGTGACTTCAGCACTTTTTTTAAAGGCACGACTGTACTTTTATAGCCATGTCAAGAAATGTGAGTCTTGCCACACATGAAGTTATCTTAATGAGAAAATTTGCAAAGATAATTGTGTGCATTATAACGCAGTGCTGCACCCTCATAATTAATTATTAAATCAGGGTCTTTCTGTATGGTGGATGTGGATGTGTATTTTAATTAATTGAAAGGTTTTGAGTCATTGGGGGAGGGGAGTGTGGGTTCATTAATTTAGCTTATTTTTAGTTGCTATTTTGTTAATATTGTTTTACAGATTATAAATACATTATTGATCTGTTAATCATATAATATGACATGCTGTAAGTGTGATGTTCAGCTTGGTTTTAGTTACTGGTTTGTTAATAGTGTTTTATTGATTGCAATTGTTTTACTGATGATTACTGATGATTTATGCTATACTTGTGTGGTGTTCTATTATGTTAGGTTTTTTTAATTGTTTGCAAGCCGCTTTGGGATTCTGTTGGCACTTTTGCATGGCTGAAATGTATCCTTGAGCAGCAATAATGCATTTTATTGCCTGGATGGTGAATTTTGTGTGTGTAGCAACCACTGACCTTTGTGTGACTGGAGAGCAGCATAGAGAAATACAGTGACTCGAAGGGAATCTGCAAGCTTGGCTACCCCCGATGCTTGCCAGCCTCTTGTCTGCTTCTGCCTACTGAGAACAAGGCAAAAATTGATGGTGACTGGAGCAGCCGGAGCTGCGCAGACCAGCAGGGGAGCTGTCCAGCAAAATCCAGAGCTGAGTTAGCAAGGCTATGCAAGCAGCTTACCTGTTACAGAGCTGTCACAGTAGCAACTAGCAGAAGCTCAGAGCTGCGTAGCAGTCCCAGCTCTTTCCCCAATGCGGCACCCTCAAGCGAGGAAGGGAAGCCTCAGGTTGCTAAAGGAACACTGCATTATTGGTGCTCAAGAAAAATCGGAAGTCTCAAATGAACAAGAACACTCTTGGTTTAAATTTAGGCAAGTTGGTTCATTTATTGCAAAAGGTATTATTAACAGCAAGTAAATGAAAACTAATGCCATTTGAACACCTAGCACATAATCTTAACGATAAAAGATAGGTCACCCACATTTATAAATATTTAGAATTAGTCGCAGATCTAATACTGTAGTTTTCAAACTTCTTTCCCTGGGCCACACTTTCAGAATAAAAATTTGCTCATGCCACACCAGTTTTTTTATTGATAAGAAATACATTAGAAAACAAAAAAGAAACAACTAGCAGTGCCTGTTTTATAGCACAGAACACAGCTGCTTTAGAATATGATCATGGGACATTCAGAAAGTATAAAACAATGTAACTACAAAAGAACATTAATCATTCCCAACATATAAATGAGCCTCTTACAAATTTACCTTTATTACACACTCAGTGTGAGATGTGAGCTTGCTTTTGATGGATAATCTTATTTATATTAGGTCTAATTTGAGACAAACAACACAAAGAAACCTTTCTCTTTTCTGATCTTTCATATTTGTTAGAGTTGAAGATCCCTGTTCACAATATGTCATGGAACAATATGCTGTTGAAGAAAAGTGTGTAAACTGTTTGTTTGTTTGTTTGTTTCTCTCTTTTTCTCTCCCCCCCCCGTGTAATATGTTGATACTCTGTTTCTGCCAGTCTTGCCATCTTCTCCTGCTACACCCTTTGAGAACCACTGATCTAACAGGATTACAAAACTGTTGGGGAAAGTGTTTGGGTTATGGCCTGTTTATTGAGCATTTATCCTTATTTGTCTGTGGGGTTATCCAACACTTTCCATTGAATTTTCCTGTCACTTTCCTAATTACTCAAAGCTCAATCTTTTTTGAACGTGGGTTTGTTGTGCAAGATCTCAAAATTTCTCCAGAGAGTAGTTTAGGGACCAGAAGTTTATTTTGCTACCTGATCACACTTCTGCATACACACTGGGCCTCTCCTGTGAAGCTGGCATTACTAAGTGATAAGGGATTTCCCTTACAGAGCACTGTGGGGAAGTATTACACTATTCAGACACCTTTTTAACCCCTCAAATGAATTGGGATAATTTTAAAAAATGGATGGTAGCCAACTAAGTCATTCTCAGGGCAGGCCCACTGAAATCAGTGAACTCAAGTTAGTCAGGACTTCCTTAAGTTCACTGGCTTTATTGGGTCTGCTCTGACTTTGACTTAGTCGGAAACAACCCCCTACCTTTTAAACTAGATTGGATCTCCAGGGGGTTCACCACTTGGCTATCCTTGATATATTGGATGTTAAGTTTGCTTAGATGAGATGCCACTGCCGACCTTTTTATTTCTCTGCACCTGTTCACACTCTGATCCCTGACTGTGGAGATCACTCAACCAATTGCCTTTTTTTGGACCTAGCTTTTTATTCTATGAAAAACAGGTTATCATGGTCAAACAATTGAAGGCTATTTCAATTTAAAGTTTCCAGAAGGGTGTGTATGTTAATCTCTTGCAGCAAGGTCATCAAAGAGTATTGTGGCATCTTAAAAACTAACAAATATATTACCATGGCAGAAGCTTTTGTGGACTGCAGTCAGTTTCATCAGTTCGCACCACCAGGCACCTGCAGCTCAAAATAATGCTTCATACATCCGATGGATTGCAGTCCAAGAAAGCTGTATACCATTATAAATGTTTTACGTTTTAGGTTCCACAAAACTCCATGAAGTTTCTGGATTCAAAGTGTTTCGCAATCAACTGGTACTATTAAGCCACAAATTATGTACTTATAAATGTCTTACTCATCCTTCACCATAAGGTCCCTTACAGCAATAGAGAACAAAACCATAAAAAGAGATGACATGGTTGCATTTATAAAACAAACAAAACTGTTTGAACAACAGCAAAAGAGATGGGTCTCACAAAACCAAATACTTCCAGCATCAAAGGCCAAGGTAAAGAGGGGTGCCTTCAGCATATGGAGAACCTTGTACCATGCAGGTGCTAGACACACCTTTGTGGAGAAGTGGTTCCACAATTTAGGGGTTGCCACAGAGAAAGTCCTCTCCCTGATTTCCATTTCCCACATTTCTGAGTGTGGCAGAACTAGGGGTATCTTAACCCCTAAGAAGGTTGGTAGGGATGGAGACAGTATTTCAGGTATTTGGGGCCTAAATCATTTTAGGGCTTTATATTTTCACATAAGAGCATCAAAACAGATTCTAAAGCAATTAGGAAGTTACCTTTTCTTGGATCCCTCCTGTTGATAGGATGATCTCTCAGCATCTTTCTCTCTTTGAATCTCTCTCTGAGGTCTTCATTCAGCAAGCAGAGATGTATGTTTCTTTTACTGCTGGCAGTGCTTCTAATCTAAATTCAACCTAAGTGCCTGGAGACCCAACCAAACCAGCAGAACCCTGCATTCCATTCTCAGTGTGGCTTGGTATGTTGAGCGCTGGAATCGTTCTGAGACAAGGATGCCCCCATTTTGAGATATTCTAATAGTCAGAGGCTCTTGGGCAATGAATGGAGGCAGCGCCAGCTTTCTCAGAAGCCAGTAGCATGCCTTGGCCTGTGTCCCTTTCGGGTGCTTCCAGGCTGGTGCTTCCTGTGGGATCAGGGTTCCTCATGCACAAATCTTTCTTTCTTTGGTTTTTATTTTGCAGAGTCCACATGACATCGCTGGCATCAGAATGCCAGCCTGCATGGCCCCCTCCCCCTTAATCTGGGCTGGGCGGCCCAGGACATTTTGGCACCTGAGGCAAATCACCAGGGAAGAAGGACTGAGCGAAGATCTACATCAAAGGCCATTGCAGGGGCACACACTCTGCGTCAGGCTCAGTGGAAGCAGCGCCCAGGAGGCAGCCCCCACCATTTCCTCCCTGGGAGTGGGAGGGGCCAGCAGCATCTCCTAATCACTGAGCAGGGGTGGGGTGGGGGCAGTCTCCAAGGAGCACATCACGGCTTCATGGTGGGCCTGGTCTGGGTTTACTCTTTCCAGGGGAACTCCCATCAACATTTTGTTAAAAAATAAAAAAGACCTGTTGCCAACCTCCCTTCCCGACAGGTTCAAGGCTGGTCCTCGAACTCCCATAGTATCCCGCTGGGTTGTCATTCTCTGGTGGATCAGCGACCGAAGCCCAAGAGAATCTTCGCTTGCGCGCAACAGATGCAAACACGCGGGATACTTTCTCGCGCGCTCGGGAGGAAAAGCCACGCGCTGCCCATCTCGCCCCGCCAGCGGCTGCCTGCCGCCCCCTCCCGAGCAGGCTGCCCCGGGAGGTCTCTGCGGGGGCTGCCGAGCCGCGGAAGAGGCGCCCGCCGAGGAGAGACGGCGGGGGCTGGCCCGGACCCCGGGGGGCTCCCGCGCCGCCGGAGCAGCGACGTCCGCCGACCCCGGCGCGGCTCCGCGGCTCCGCCTGCCGGGCGGGCTTTTCTACCTGGCGGGGAGGTCTCCGCCGAGGGGCGCCCGCGGAATCCCCGCGGAGGGCTGGTGGGGCGGAGATGGGGTGGGCGCGCCCTCCGCCGCCTGGGCGCCCGGCTCTGGCTCCCCTGCCCCGCCGCCGCCCTCCTCCTCCTCCTCCTCTGGCGCGGGAGCCCCGAGGGCAGGGGCGGGATCCGCGGCCCCTCGCCGCTCCTGGCCGGTCCCCCCCCATCTTACGCCGCTTCCGGTTCTGGAGCCGCGGCGGCGGCGGCGGCGTCCCCCATGGCCTGGCCAGATGCGGCAGGTCTGCTGCTGCTGCCTCGCGGTGCGGCGCCTGGGCGGCGGCGGCGGACGGCTCAGTGCGGCGGCGGCGGCAGCAGCAGCGGCGGCGGGCGCAGGAGCAGCTGGGCGCGGCGCGGCGGGCGGAGGAGGAGGAGGAGGAGGAGCGGCCTGGCGCGCGGGCGGCGGCGGCTCCGGGGCTGCCTCGGCATGCGGCGGGCTGCTGCGGCGGCGGCGCCCGGCTTGTGCGTGCTGCTCTTCGGCGTGTCGCTGGCCTGCTACTCGCCCAGCCTGCGCTCGGTGCAGGACCAGGCGTACTCGGCGGCCGTGGTGCTGGAGGGCAAGGTGCAGGCGCTGCCCGCCTCCGCCGCCCCGACGGGCAACGGGAGCCGGGCCGAGGAGGGCGCCGACGGGCCCCCGCCGCCGCCGCCGCCGGGCATCCTGGTGAAGGTGCTGGACCTGTGGCCCCTCAACAGCGGCGGCCTGCAGCGGGAGCAGCTCATCCGCGTGGGCTCCGCGCCCGCGCCCTGCTCCAAAGTCAAGCGCAACCACCGCTACATCTTCTTCCTGGAGCCCACCGAGCAGCCGCTCGTCTTCAAGACCTCCTTCGCCCCGCTCGACACCAGCGGCAAGAACCTCAAGAAGGACGTGGGCCGCATCCTGTGCGCCGACTGCGGTGAGCCCTCGAGGGGGGCGTGTGGCCCGGGGAGGGGGCGGCAGGTGCCCGACGGCCCGGGAGGCTCCCTGCGCAAGGCCGGCGCTCCTCTGCAGTGCTGCATTGGCGAGCGGGGCGCAGCCTGGGAGGGCGCCCGGCCGCCTGTCGGGGCCTCGGCCTTCTGGGCGGGCGCCCCCGAACCCCGCTGCTGTCCTTGAGGGGGCGGGTCGGGGTGGAGAAGGAGGCCGGGGGCGCTGCTGCCCGCCTTGCCCCGGGCGCCCCTCTTGGCGCAGGCTGCGCTCGGTTGTGTAAGGCATCGCCAGCAGCAACTTTCTTATGTAAACAACGCCCCCCCCCTCTGCTCCCCCATCCCTGGGTGTTAAATGGCTCCATTTGTTGCTTTGAGCCGCTTCTCATTTCTCCGGAGAAAACAGCTGGCCTGGGGCAGCCCGTGGCCACGTCTTTTGCGGGGAAATCCTTTGTGCCATCTTTCTTTCTGAGCGGAAAAGGGCGCTTCTTGGGGTGCGTGCTTCTGCTGCAGATGCTGGTTTGCCGCTCTGGAGTTTGTGTGGCCCCGGGTTTTGCAGATTTTATGCTGCATTTCACAGGAAAGTTTGCATTTTGTCAGGAACCACGTTTCTTTTGCTTGTGAGGCTGGCAGGGCAGATGCTGGCTCCTCTCACTGAAGAGCGAAGAGGTCTCTCTGCTGGGTGCAGGCGATTAAGGGGATACAACTAAGGTGTTGTTGCACCCCACCCCCTTAGGGTCAAGGAAGCGCCGGAGTTAGGGCCACAACAGATGCTTAGATCCAGCCTGATGGGTTTTTTTTAAGCAACCAGGCATTGTGGACTTCCAAATTTGGTTAGATAGAACATCAGCACTGGTGGAGTGGGGCTTTAACCCCTTTCACTCCTTGCTTTTCCTTCTCTAACTCTGAAATGATGTCCTCTAGCTGATGCATTGCATGCCTGTGGCAGACAGAAACATTTCCTAATGCAGATAATTTATAAACTGCAGAACATTAGAACATTCTTCCCAAGTAAAAGCCCTCTGTGCTTTCCATAGCCTCCTTTTCATCCTAATTATTTTTTTGTGCTTCCCTTTAGGGGTTTTTTCTTTTTTCAAGATAAAAAGTGTATATTTAAAATGATCATCTGGAAAATGAAGCAGTGGTTCATATTTGTATTTTTGGGTGGCCTGTTTTACTGTGTGGTTCCAGTAATGATTGTGGTGTGAGCTGACTGGCCGTAGGTTGGCAGATTTTTCTGGACTATCTAACCCGAGAAGCTCAAGGCAGTTGAAATAACAGAAGCTCCTAAGTAATGGATTGTACAACTTGGTTGCACACGTGTTGACCTGGAAGCAAGGGACTGTAGCTTAAAAGGGAACTGACATATTCTAAAGCCATAAGTCTACGCATACTTAGTTGAGACGGTAAGCTCTACTGAACAAAGTGTGTCTTACTTCCACATAAACATGCATTGGCTAGTTTGGATTGGATGGCTGATTTAGCTTCATTCTCTTTTAACCTAAGGAAGCCGTGATGAAATGAACAGGTTTTTTAACCAAGTAATAGAGAATTTCTGGTTCTCCTCTTCAAGCCACAATATAGCTTTTGGTGGCTTAGGTGCCATTTATTTATATACAGTACTGTAAAAAAATTTAGATACCCCTTGATTTAGTAGAACCTCAAAGTGACTTTGATAAAAGTGATAATAGGGTAGTTTCCACTCAGCTTTAGGACTGCCTTTTCTGGGAAGAGGCCTTCCTGCACAGTTGTTTACCATATATGTCAGGTGAAAATGGCTTCATGCTGGCCAGGCTTGGGGGTGTTCTCTGCCCCAGCTGCTCCCATTCTCTTCTCTTTCTGCCTTGGGTTTTTGGGAGGGGCACAAGGCAGTCTTGGGTGGTTTCTTTTGAGTTGGTTTTATTGATGTTTCATTGTGATCTTCCTTATGCAGATACTTTGCTTAGAAAGTGTATAATAGTTTGAAGGGCACAATCAAATCAAAATTAATCAGTGTTGAGCATAATTGCATTAAAGTAACAGGCTGGACTGTTTATGATTATTGCTGCTTCCTGATATTTAACTATGACTTTTCAGTACATATAGCTAATATTGTTCAAAGTGATTAACACCCACAGTCTCCACAATTTCTCTCCCCTGAATATCTTTGCTATTATGAAATTTCAACATACACTCTCATGAATAATACAGAATTCCCCGGGGACAATCTTTATAACATAAAGAATGTACGAGCAAGCTGTTCTAATTGACAGCACATGGGCATTCATTGGGTTAATTGGATCATTTATTCATTAAGAGCATTGTAGCATGCCAGTCATACAGTTGTATGTAATAAAAGTTCTCCTCACCCTTTTTCACCTATATACTTCCAGAGTTAGTACTTTGCCATACAAGAGAACTGATAATAGCAATTAAGATGGTTCTTCACTTAATAATTATTTTTAAAAGTTCCTTTGGAGTTTCAGTTGCCAGCAAGGAATGAAGGTGAATATTAATACTCTGAAGCTGATGAATTGTCCATTAGAGACAGAAGTCATATATGTGAATGTTTCGGTTCCCAGATATAAGTTTTGGCTCTGGTATCTGATTGATCAATTTTGTTCTCTGTGATAGAGGAGGAATGTTGAAGTCCAACATTTCCCACTGGGATCTGTGGCAAGCTTTTATAACTGGAAATGGTTGAACTACAGCAGGTACCCTGAGAATAATCATCACTCCTCTTTTTCCAACCTTCTGATTAGCTGAAAGTTTGGCATATCCCTCTACTCATTCACAAAAATGCAGCAGATAAAATTAAGAAAGCCAGTGATAGATTAATTTAAGAGGACTAAAAATTGGGGGACGCACCACCAGCTAACACATATTTTTCTCTTATATTAGGAAAAGGCCTCATCCTATGCATTTTTAAACTGAGAAATCACAAGTTAATTCTGTGAAAAGGGCTCAGTGTAAAAAGAAGTTTATTTCTGCACTTTAACAGTTTGAAGGAATGCCTTCTAGCTAAAACACTCTGTGGGGTTATCAGGAGCACTTTCTCAGCACAGCCATGGTGCAGATTGCAACATCCCCTTGCACTTCATTATAAGGTGAATTGCTGTAATGGGCTTCTTCTCTACCCTTGAACCAGTGGAGTGATGTTCACAGATGCCTATAATTCTGTCCTGCTCAGGACTGGACCTCCTCAGAAGTCATGGGATGTAGGATGCATTGCTCATTTGAACATTGTTCTGGATCCCACAATCTTCTTGTGCCAGGATGAAGACATGTTCTGCTATTATATTAAATGATGCCATTATAAAATAATTGGTGTATTTGGATGTATTGAATGCCCACAGCTCTGCTTATAGTGTTAACTTATTTACTGTGCTGTCAGCATTTATGGTCTCCTTTCTTGGCTGGGGCCTGAGGCTGCACAGGTAATACTCAATGTGGGGTGGGAGAGCAGGACCATGGCCAGCTCACTATGGAATGGGGTAGGGCCAGCCAGGCTGGCGGCAAGCAGAGCAGGACCATGGTCAGCTCAGTGTGGAGCTCAGAGTCATGGCACTCAAGAGCTAGTGTTCCTCAAGCAATCATCTGGAGTCAGTGGAGAGCCTTCCTCAGTCTGCTCTCCAGATGTTTTCGGCCCATGGTCAGAGATGATGGGAGTGGTGGCTAAAACATGTGGAGAACACCTGGTTGGGAGAAGACGGTTTCAAGTAGTTTTGCTGTCAGATTGGTGTTTGAAGGCCTCCTTCCCCACACTGGGGGAATTGTTGGTGCTTAAAATAGCTGTTCCCTGTTCCTCAGGTGCTGCCTCTTACAGAGCTGGGCAGGTCACTGCCTCTGAAGGTGGTGTGATAGGGAGCTGCCCCTGGGAAAGAGTTGGAGGAGAAAGGTACGGACTGCTTGCTATGGCTAGGCAGGTGAAGACATTGCTGGCTTCTGGGATTTTTCTCTCTCCTGGGAGTTGCTAGGAGGCTTAGGGTCTTCTAGGGAACTTTCCAGGACTGGTTTCTGCACTCAGTCTTCCCCTCAGAATCTTCCTCTGTTCCAACTCCTGGGCCATAGCATCATGAACTCTGCTATGTGCAGCCTTTGTGTCCAAAGTGTTGAGTAGTTCTCAAGCAAACTCACAAGAATCTTTATTGCCTGGGATTTTTCTTGTAAAATGTTACAAAGCAATGTTGAGCAGACCCCAGGGGAGATCTTGTATTCCTAGAGAGAATTGGGGGCGGGTAGTATAGTTTTGATCCAGGGCTAAGTCACCTTTTATGGTCTGGCTTCATTTCAGGTCCTAGACTATAGTATGTTACATTCTGTCATTCTGCTTCTTGTCTGTCACAGTGATATGCAGAGGGAAGGCATGTGTATTTGAGGTACATAGAGGTGATGCTATGTGCTTCTGCATTTTGTGCAGCAGGTTTGACAAGAGCCCCACGGGAAGGCCTCAGAAGATCTTGCTGGAACCCAGAAGCCGCTGTAGCCACTTCCCCTTACTTCTCAGGCTGCAAGGATGCCAGTGGGCGGCATTGACACATGCCACTTTGTCCCCATAATTGAGGGGGCTGTGCGATGTCAACACGCCATGTGCACATGCCCTGTGGCATGCTTGCGCCATGTGTGCATGGCAGGACATGTTGGTGTGTCATGCAGATGTCCTGTGGCTTGCGTGCGAGATATGCGCATGCCCCACGGCATGTGTGTACAGCCACCACAGAACTTTGAGGTGGCCCGGCCCCTTCATTGAATTTTTTTTTTGTCATGCATGCCTTTGCACGGGTGGGTGGGTGTGCCTGTAGAGTCGCCCCTTGCCGCCTGCCTCAGTCTGCCTCACGGACAAGCCAGGCCTGCTAGTGCTGCGTTCTCTGCCTGTGTTTACACTGGTAGAAAAGTGGGGCTTGGGGTGGGTGATACACTTGCAGATTATCTGTTTGCAGCCAGCTGTGTGCCCTGGCTGCAGGGTCTCTTTTTGTTTGGATTGGTTTTGCTCTTATGGTTTTGTGGCACCTCTTCCCTCCTCCCTCACCCACCCAGCAGCCTTTTCATTTAAGATGCTTTTGAAGCAATCCAGAGAAACAATATATTGTTATCCATGTATTTTTGAGATTATTGCTGCTGCTGGGGCATGTATATGTGGGTGGAGCTGTGAACGGATGGGGAGGGCTCTGTGAAGCATTTCACAAACACACCCGTTTTCCAATTTTAAAT